GCAGGTGACCTTAAGGAATGTTAGGCCATGGAGGCCTTGATTTCCACCAAAGGTATGTTGGTGTGAGACACCAACATTTGAAACCTTCAGATAGCTGGCCGAAAACAGGAGTGTGTGAGTGCAATATATATATATATTAATATATTTATATATATATTATATACAATGATAAATATAATGCATGTGATTCGAGGTATGAATCATCCTCAAGTTGAGATTCACTCCAAATGTTATATATATACACTATGTCCCCCAAAAGTGTAGTCTATTAATGCCCCAAGTCTGACTCTTCCAAAACCAAGCGCTGCGACACCTGGATCCTGCTGATGTGCTCACCCATTTCTTGACTTCCTGACATGACATGTCCTCAAGCTGTCGCAACTCTCCAAGCTGAGGCAATTCCGCTACACGCCCCCCACACATGCGATCCTAGCCTTCAAGCAGGCTCGGTCCGTGGTGATCGAACTTCATGGGCTTCATGCTTCCCATCATGATCACTGGACAGTGTGTGTTGATATGTGTGGCGTTTGGCCTGGGAACCACCAGGCCATGGGGGAGGAAGGTGGCAGGCTTTTCCATTTAAGCATCCCTGCACCGATCGGTGATGGTGACATCAGCGACTGCGCTATACTGCGCAGCGTACCTGCGTACTGCTAGGCCTTGGTGGAGTTTCATGCAGAGGGCGGCATGGACGCGCGCAAGGCTCGATACCGTGCCACTGGTCCGAAGCCCGCGCAGGTCGTGCGACGGGGGCGACGCCCGCGATGCGAGGGACAGCGATATCAAGTGGTTTTGGACTCCCAAGGATACATGAAGACGAAAACTAACATAGGCCCTGACGTTCTGACTTCTGGGTCAGATGGTTTTCCTCTACCAACCAGTGGTGTTCAGGGTCCATGCTAGTCTACCAGGGTGTAAACGACCTAAGGACTCCCAAGTCGGAACTTCGAAACGAGTCTCATGTAGAATTATAGACACACAACCCGTCACCACGTTGCAACTACGTAAGTACCGCGGTCTCCACCCCCACACAACTTTTGGGATGATCAATTATCAAAGCCTTAAAGACTCGTTCTCCCGTTTGAATCCGGCAGCCGATTGATCAAGGATGCCAAGGATCCCTGTCGTTTTGATGTGTTTTTCTTGTTTGAATCCGGCAACCAGCGGCAACCATATGTCTTTTCCCCCAAACTGCTTGTTGATCTCCCACACTCCCATGTGTGTTTCCCATTCGTTGCGTCTTTGACATGCGGCTGGACCACAGCGGCGCAGCGGTGAACGCAGCCAAAAGCGATGTTGAGGCCAATTATGAGGTCCTGGCGCCCGGCACTGAGCTGCCTTTTGGGTCAGAATGACTCCTCTCCCCCTTTCCCCACCTGTATATATATATATATGTTTGTTTGTATATTTGACAAGTACTGTGGGTCTAAGTCTGTGCATGAGAGCCTTGTAGTTGGCTCTAGTTGGCTGCCACGGTGCCATCCTTTTGGAACTGAAAGCAAAACAATCAAGTTCGACTTGGATCAGATAGGTCAGATACTGTAGGTGATAGGTCAGACTCATGCACCAGCAGACGAGAGACAAGAGATGGAGATGAGAGTTTGGGTGAGCACATCCACAGTTAAGACCCACAGGTCACGAACTCTCCATGAACCCTGAACTTGACCGAAAGATTTTTTTGCTACAACCCACTGGTTTTGAGAGTCCATGTTTAAGACGTGGAGGAGGGTAAGACGGAGGCCATGGCCTCTTGGTAAACCATGCAGGACTCTTCTATGTTCCTTTCACGGTCTCTTCCAAGGGAGCTGTCCCATTCCCAGACGATGCGTGGCTACGCAAATATGGTCTGCATTTGGTGGTTTTTGGTGGTGAAGCTCGGTCATATTTACCCATGGATCGACTGGGATTGATTCCGAAAGATGTGATTATGTCGGCTCGGGCTTTGGGAGATCACAGGGGATCACTGGAAGGTTGGTCGGCCAGTCTTTAAGCTAGGAGCTCACGTTTTAGAAGCTCCCCTGAAGATGAACAACTTGGAGTTCCAAGTTGGGATGGTTTTGAGACTCATCCTGTCAGTGTCATCCCGTGAGTGGACAACAATTGCACTACCATCCAATGCGCGCTCCTTGGACACTGCTGCCAAGAACCCACAGTACTCAACAGTAATGAAGATGAACACTTGAAGGCCATTTCTTTGGTCATGTTGTTTGTGGTTGAGCAGACCTGCCCCAGGCGTGAGATGCAGAAGATGGGCTTCGAGTTCTATGTGCCGGAGGCGCAGGGCGGCGCAGGACAGCGCAGGGCAGGCAACTTTGACTCGTCGCCCAGATGTGAGCGGGGTGTGAAACCAGGTGGAGTGATCGATTGATTGTATGTTCAGCTGGACTAATTACAGCATTCTAAAAGATAGATATAGGTAATAAGCGAGCTTCTGGAAGCAAAAGAAAGAGTGTGTTTTGTCTTCCACTAAGTACTTTGGGGATTTGGGGTACAAGTCCTATCTCTTGCTTGTACCGACAAGTGCTTGAAATGTTTGAAGTTGCGAGAAGCTAAAACATGAAAGTAACTCTTTCTGTGGAGGATCCAGGACAACTAACAAATGAGAGAGTGCCCAAATCAATAGATTTGGATAGATGAAGCAGCTAGCAGCAATGGCCATGGTGATGTCAGATTGGGACTGGTGTATAATCCAATGCTTAATATTCTTGGATTGTAGTGGCACATTGAATCCATCAGTATATACCAGCAGGTATTTTTGTAGCTGCAGGTGCAGCAAATCGGTATGGCCGCTGGTAGAGCAAACAGTCGGACTGAAGGTTGGACTCGCTGGCATGACAAAGATTGCATTCAGGCCAGCATGATGTTTTATATAAAAAGGGAAAAAACAACAATCACCATTGTACAGGAAGGACATATTACAAGTAACTCCTAAGTCAATCTGACTTTAACCACATGGTGTCGGTGAATTGAATCACCTCAGAGACTGTGGCATACTGTGTCAGGCAGTCAAGATAGCAAAATACAACATATTCTTCAAGCTGGGGATGATACTCGATGCACCCAAACTGGCAACTGCAGTGGTTACTGACTGTTTTTTTTCTCAGCTTGCAGGGTTCCGCTGCACCACCACCTGCAGGGCTGTGGGGAAGAAACGACGCCAGGCTTGCAGGTCCTATTGCATTTGCACCTTCAAGACCCCGGAGCATCCGTCGCCCGTCGGCTCCAGCTCCGGCGCTCCCGGGACAGACGTTCGTTCGGCGCGCTCGCTGGCTTTGGGTGAGAAGGTCGCACCGATGGCGTGGCACCGGAGGCACAGGTAGAAAGTCATGTTGACACAAGATTAAGTGCTATCCCTGGAACTCTCCCATGTTGGTTAGACTTTGGAAGTACTCTCCCTAAACCCTGACATGGAAGTGGATGGCACCACCTGTTTGTAGTGGATTTCATGGTCTTCCTTTCAGGGCCAGTCCATCCACATAACCATGTTAGTTCCAGGGAGTGTAACCACCCCCTATTGATCAAGCCGAGCTCCAGGCCCCAACCAGGGGGGGCGTTAGACGGTTGATGAATCAACATTCCCTCATTTGGATTGCACAACCCCTTGAGGCCCACCTTGGGGATGTTGAGTCAGAAACGTTGAGTCATGTTGGGGTGCGCCGGTTTGGGCATGGTCACCCAGAGTGAAAGCCAGGGTTTGTCGACAACTGGGCGGGGAGTTCAGAGCTGGGAAGGACAGGAACGGAGAAAACTCCAGAGACTGATGCTGGCGTTCTAAGCAGGAAAAAGAGACCAAGTCCTCCAGGAGTTATATAAGGGATATACAATTGGTGGTTAGAACGGCGGTACATGTTGAGAACACCAGTCACAGCCATGAAACGGCACATTTGCTAGTTGATTCCAAGTGGTTGGCCTTGCCAGCCTCTGCATTGCTTTAGTTTGGGTGCAACATAGTGGACCGTTCTGTACCCATTTAAGATCAAAACCATTGAGACCTAATCCACTGTTCTTTCAGCTGTGAGAGGAAAATATACTGTTGAGTCGTGTTCCTCCATGGTAGTAAAGGGCATGCTTGGTGCATTTCAGGTTAAGAGGTTTAAAGTTTATATATGCCGAATGATTATGAAAGGGAGCAGATGTAGAACCAACTCTTGACAGTTCCTTTTGACGGCAACAGTAGCAAATTCAGTTTGTCACGATTTGGAGGTATCTACAGTAAAACAATATGAAGAGGTATCCAATCCAATCAATACTATGCACTGTAGTTCCGTGAGGAGGTATACTGAGACGTATCCTGCCTTTAGGAAGTGTTTTGGAGGTTTATCGATCTCGTTCAAAGGAAGTTGGTAAAATTCCTTGAATGACTGACTGCTGGCGCAGCTCAGGAAATTTCATTTCCAAACCTTCTACAATCTGCTGGCGGAGCAGGGGTAGAGCTCTCAGCCTGAAGTATCCCTTTTAATTTTGGTGATGGTCTGCTTCACAGCAGCTTGGGGGTAGAGGTGTTTGCTGATGAAAGTCCTCTCTACAGGCCTTGCAAAGCTTTTCCCAGCTATACTTTTTGTGGTGACGAGACTATGCGTCCCTTGTCAGAAGCAGCTGGTTCCCGTACTGAATTCACTCGTGCATCTCTTTTTTGTGTTGTGTCTATTTGTTCCAGCCTGTGCTTGGCTTTTGGTGAGACTTCTTTTGCAGACATTGATGCATAGCCCAGTGCATCCCAGTTACCACTATATAAGGAACCAGGGATTCTAGGTCTATGGCTTTAGTCTTTGGAACCACTGGTTACCAGGTATAGTGGTACTGCCGTGCAGCCCTCGTCCCGTGCAGCAAGCCGCCAGATGGCTTCTGTAGGATGATGTGGTGCAGGATTTGTGGGTTCAGGTGTCATTTTCTGCGATGAAACCTGGAACTCACAACTTTATTTGTCAAGGCATGCTTTGACACACTCAAAAAGGGCTCCCATAGCTACCAGCTATACCATGAGAATGCTCTCAAGTTGGCAGTATTTTTTTGAACAGATGCAGGTCTTTTGTTCACGATTGGCAGGATCCAGGGCCACATGGCCATCTAGATTTCCGCAAATTGCGGGCGCTTATCTAGATTTCCGCAAATTGCCCTGAACTTCTGGCTGTCCGCCACCCTTGATCAAGGTCATGTGAACATAATCAACTTATATAAACTTTAAAATATATAAACACAGTCATGATGATTTGAAAGACGACGTGAACGATGAGGGTACTGACTGACGCCCTTTTTTTGGGTACTCACAGTCATGCATTGGAGCTTCCGCGGCTTCGGCCTCGAACGACGGAGGTTTGTGATCTATCCAGGGAAGTTGTCAAAGGGCAACTCCTTTAGAATAGGTCCGGTGGCCTGGGGCTCACTCTTTGCGTCACTCGCCCCGCTGACCGAAACCAGTTAGGGTTTCTGCATAGGTCTTTTCCAGTTCTGAGAAGCGAGAGAAATCCAAGCAAGGATTCCGGATTCCCTTCTTGGTGAACATGTGGGCAATTCTGACAAATTTCTTTGATTTCCACTATATATAGTCCTTATTGTTCAATGTGTTGGTTTTGGGCAACTCATTTAGGTGATTCACCTGCGATTGTTGAGACGGATCAGTGAGAGTGATCAGGAAAGACATGTAAAGACACATGAGGAGGCAGGCACATGAGAAAAGGCAGTGCATTTGTATCTCATGACTCCAGAACCCTTAAGCTGCAAGAGCGGCTCCCGGCAGAGCAACCCGAATCCGCATTCCCGTCCTGAAAAGCAGAGGTCGTGACAGCGGTATGAAGCTCGAACTCACCTCTGGTCATGACAGCGTATTTGGAGCCCCGAGATGGACAGACTTCAAACTGAACATCGAAAATGATGTCCAAGTTTTAGGACTCTCTCGCTGCTTAGCTTATGCAGAACCACGTGGATGGTTGATCCCAAGACTGGATCACTCCCGGATCGCCTGAAACGAGGGACTCCACTCCACCCTATTGACTCTCCGGTTTCAGGCATCATCGGCCGACTCTTCCCCAAGGACAGATCGAGAAGAAACGGACGGATGGGGATGACAGGATCTTCTGGAACCCAGTAAGTTGGTAGATAAGGGCAGGGAGCCCACCCAAAGTCACCAAATCTTTTTGGTTCTATACCAGAATTAGATAGTAGTTGTTTCATGTTTGTGTTTTTGTTGTTTTTTCTGTTTGGTGTGGTTCTATCATGGCTACTATGGCAGACCATGGCAGGGAATCTTTAGGCTTCCAAATGATTTAGACCCAGGCAAAGTTGTGGTTGTAGTTACTTGTTTGGTTTTACAGATTGCACCATTGTTTTCTAGATAGTGCGGTCCTTCCGAATCCCTATTTCAGCCAGTGAAACACAGTAAGCAACGCAAACGATGCAGCATGGGACAAAAGTTCCAACTGAGAGGAGTTGCAACCAATCCACATGGAACATCTCAGCCACTCATGGGCCCTTGAAATCCCTGTACGAGTCGTACGGTATCACCCCTCGACTTGGCCAGTCAGTTTCAGAATGGACATGGTGATCATGGACCGGACCGTCCATGGTGTCTTCATGGTGTCTTTTTGTTGTGACCGGACCGGATCAGGACCCGAGATGTCTCGGTCCGTATGGGCAGAAACGGTCTGTTTGCCTTGTGTATCAACACGCAGACAAACGCGATGGAGGCAGAATCCCGACATCTCTCGCAGGCTATACTTAAAACATGTGAGAAACCAAACAATCTCTACACTCAAAGGCAGATGGCCTCAGGCTTCTACTTCTTTTCCAAAGCGCTGCTTTGCCCCAGGACTGCGAGCTGCTGTGCTTGTCGGTCCGCAAGGCCTGCGAGGCGCTGCAGGTGCCACTGCCCCTAAGATGAGCTGTGCCAGTCCTGCGAGTCCTGCGACGCGGGCTGAAGCTCGGTGAAAGAGCCCCAAATCATCCGAAGAACGGCCACATACAGTCACGGGATCCTGGAGCTGTGGATGTTTTTTGGGAGAGAAAAGAGCCACATCACGATCTAGAAGTGTTGAAGAAAGGATAGAAGGATCCTTTGTGGTAGAAGTAGAACTTCTGACTTTTGGTGTCAACAGTATAACTTTGGAGAGTCTCCTTTTTGGGGAATCAACATTTTGGTTTCGGATCCATATTGTTTGATGAGGGATGGCCATCAGACCTTGCAGTGATAGCCTCGACTTGATCCAGAAAAGGACACTACTGGCCTTTTGTTTCATGGAGGATGCTCCTCCAAACACCCGGGAACGCTGCGCTCTCCGAGCGCGGAGGAAAATAGAAACGGGTGCGTCCCGCTCTTGAGAAGTTCAGGTGACCGTCATTTATTTGTTGCTTGAAACAACAAATTGATGCCGATTACTGTAAATAGGGCTTCGCCCAGGACTCTAACAAGCCACTTGCTAACAATATCAAGCAAGTAAAGTACATGAGTGCTTGTGTTGCAGCAGAAGGGTGATTTCCAGTGTCCCATGCTCAGGCAGGGCAGTGAAATAAGTGCCAGATAAGGATGTACAATACAGACCCTTCTCGATTTTGATCCATGACTCCTCAAACAAGTTGAGGCTTGACGGCCTCAAGTTGAAACTTGACACTCCATCATGTGACTAGGAGATGGGGATTCTACACTTCCGATTTAAGAAAAGTGATCAAAGGAAACCGGGGCTTCTCTGCCAGATGAGACTCCCGGTCGCCTGAACTTCGCTCCGGTCCCTCGTGTGCTGCGTCTAATCGGGCGCGAACTTGGCACCGGGAGCTCCAAAAGAGATGCCGTGAAGCAGACCTCCGCAGGAACTGGGAAGAGCCTCACCAGCTGGGGATCAGCTTGTTGCCCTGACGCTTCTAACATGCTTCAGCCAAACTGTGGTTTAGGGAGGGAAGAAGATGGAACAAACCTGACCTGTCTTCTCATGGCGAAAAATGGCCACGCCAATCACCCAGGTGTTGAGCACCGTCACGCCGAGCTGGGCGGTGCTGAGCAGATTCTTCCACTGGTAGACCCAGCGCAACTCACGAGTGTGTAGACTTGCTCCAAGGATGAGTGTATTGATTCAAAGGCACATCCCCACCCTGTTGTTCGTTTGCATTGGAAGGGTGTTCTTTCTCATAGATTGACCATCTGTGACTGATCCTTTTTGACCTCAACGTAGTGCCGTTGACTTCGGGTAGGTACTGTAAATCTTCCGCAGGGATTGGTTGCAATGGAGAGGTTGCAAGGACCATCAATCACAAGCCCAAGCAAGTCTTTTGTGTTTGTTGGATGTGGGTCCATGCAAACTATGAGCTGGGGTGGTGTTGGATGGTTCATTTTGCCCGCATCCATGTCTCACTGGGTTTGAAGAGGAGCAGGACCAAAGCAAGTCCCGGAAGTACCAGGCATCCCATAATGATCCCAGAATAAACTCTTGAAAAGGTGCATCAATGTTTCAGAAGGCAGGAGAGATGCAGAGGAAGAAAGAAACAACCAGATAGAAGGATGGTGAGTGCCTGTGATTCATTTGAGCATCTCCATGGCTACCAAGAGCAGAGTCACAACGCCGCACCTCCGGCTCGCGATCACGTGCTATCGGTGAGGCGACGGAGGTGACGGGAAGGATGAAACGAAGAGTGGCCCAGCATTGACAAGAAGCTATTAAAACTATTTTAAAATTAATTAAGTAAGGCACTTGTTACTAGTAGCGTGGCACTTGTTTCTACTAGCTTCTTGTTACTACTAGTAAGGCACTTGTTACTACTAGCGTGGTACTTGTTACTACCCCAAAAAAAGATAAAAAAAGCACCGGTGACATATTCCGTTCATTTGGAGTAAAGACCTCATGCACTTGACTTTTGTCTTTGGTGCACTCTTAGAACCAAAAAAGCCCCCGGTAATTTACGAGGGATTTTCTGCTAAATTGCAAAAGGCTTAAGCCTTTGGCATGGCATCTAATCACAGGCAAGTAGAGTTTGTGTGCTTTATGACCCCCCCAAAACGAACACCGTCGCCGAAATCATAAAGTTCGAGGTGCTTCAAGACTGTTTTAGAGAATAGAAGAGCCCTCTAAACCTTACTCCAAGCCTCAAGACCTTCTTTGCGGTGTCCTGTATGGACTCGACAAACCAATTTAGGGAATACCTTTTTTGGGGGCAACGCGCTGTGAGGACCATCGATCCACTTTCGGCCACCAAACCAGCTTCTGAAGACGTCTTAGAACATCCAGCCGCTGGAACGCCGCGCCGGCAGCGGCAGCTCACTCGCGTCACTCGCGCCATGGCGAGTTTCGCGTCACGCGCGTCATGCGCCATGCTGCTGTGTGGCCTTGCTGCAGGCGATTTTTTTGTGGGATCGGCAAAGAGTTTTGACGCAACAAAAAGAACATGTGGAACTGTGGAACGCATGTTCTTGCAGGGCTCTCATGTTCTTTTATAACTCCTGGGATCAAAGCAGCCATGCCATGCACAGTGCGAGACGGTGTCATAAACCGATTTGCCCAGTGCCCGCACTCCGATCGTTTTGTTCCAAAAGCTCAGCCAGTCGTTCGCGCGTTATGACCGTTACTTGCCTGTGATAACGACAGCGGGTTCTTTCATGTGCTGACGACCGATATTCTTTGGAGACATATGTGATGGAATCTGAAACTCTTAGAACCTAGATACTTCTATTGTGAATATTTTATAGTATAGTAATGTATAGTATAGTACTAGATAATTACTATTGCGTTCTTTTTGGAAACTCCTAATTTGATTGATTCTTCGTTATTTTACTTGCCTATGAGAACCCAAGGGGTTCGTAATATTGGGAGATCTCTTAAGTCGACACCGGGGAACTGGTCTCCTGTCGTTCTCGTCTTCTCACCCTCACGTTGGTGCTGTCTGTGATGTGTGGATGGGGTAATGATGCCAAACTGCTATGAATTCATGTTGCATGGGTTACAGTACAACTTCTTGAACAATGACCACTTAGTTAGGAAACAACCATGCGTTACCAACACACTCCCTATCTTTGGTTGTAGTAGAGTAGAATTATAGTAAGCAGCAAGCTAACCCACTGTTCAAGTGGTTGGAAGAGCTTGGAGTGCTTGGAAGACGCTTCTTCTCAAACCCTCCCCTTCCAAGGAATCACTCCTCCAGTTGGACAGGGGGCAGGATCCGTCAGACTCAGATGCTTCAAAGGCTGCATTTGAAGTCCCTGCGGTGTCCTTGCTGCCATCCTCAATATGTCAACCCTGCCTGGCTCTGTCCTACAGGTTTTTGTGGCTGTCCCTATGGACGAAGATCAATCGGACGCTTCCATGATTGCAAACCTATGGCAAAGATCTTCCAAAGTAGGAACTCCGAGTCTCAATCAACTGAGAGTGAGATTCGCTTGCTTCCAACGCTTTCGCTTCCAAGTCGTTCACACTCCATGAGTTCCCCAAACCACTCCATCTTCGCACCCATCGCTTTCGTAGATTTGGGTAACTGGTCGCAGGTGGAGTACTGGAGCAGTGGTTGGAAGATCTTCAGGTGACGCTGCCCAAGGGCACTGTGCCACCGGTCGAGGCGGGTTCCGGAGACGGGTTCCGGAGACGGCTGGTGAAGACGGAGACGAAGCCCGGGCTTAGTAATATAACTATCATATAAACTATAATAACATTGAAGTGATATATTGATAATTATACATACACAACAATGTAAATTGTGAGTGCACATGAACTGGGGCTCTAGAGCGCTGTCTTTTACATCTGCAACGGGTGTGTTTGATTCGTGGGAAGTTCTGGGGACTTGGTGAGGGTGATGGGATCCCTCTTTTAGTCTTAGCTTCACCTTCCCGCGCCAATCCAGCTTTTCTGCAGGTACTGCAGGTCGGGCGCTGCTCCTATTGACCTCAGACCAACCCAGCTTGACCAAGCTTTCTCGCGCGGCGTCGATCGAAACCTAAACAGGCGGATGTGAAGATCTTCTTGGCCACGGTGCATGTGAAAGCCACCTTGGATTCCTTAGCTGCTCGGAGTGCACCACCTGGGAGCAGATTGCAGACTGGGAGAGGCTAGGATCAAACAGGACATGGGTACTCAAACAGTGACTGAAAACGAGCAGTTCAAGTACTTGTAGCAGCTACGTCACGACTAGTGCTTGAGCATTTTGGTGTTGTAGCCTTTAGGTGTGTTTTGGAAATTACTTAGTCAAGATTCCAAGACACATGTTCATGGGGATCGCTTCTGTGTCTATGTCTTTAGTCTCTTACATGATCCAGGTTTGTGCCTTTCATCAGAGCCCACGAGAGGCTTCGATCAAATTTGGTATGCACACAGATATCTGAGTATCTGGAATTCTGGAGGTTCATGGGGTTCCTGGAATGCTCGTTGTTTTATGTCGAACTTCTCCAAGGTTTGCAGAACTCTGTTGGCCTGGGCAGAAATTCGTTCAAGGGGTGAGTCTGGGTACTTCATTGGTTTTGTTTTTACCTTGAGGAAGAACAGAACATAACAGAACGTAACGATATGATTCTGAATCTGAACCCTCAGAGATAGGCATGATATGATTTTCCTTTTGTATATCCTCCCTTTGTGGTTTCTTGAGAAGGACACGCTGACACCCACTGAAAGGAAGACATCAGAGACCAAGCCAACTGAGATGGAACACGTTCACCAGTCAACGTATTTTGCCTTGGACTTTAGGCCGAGGCTGGGTTCCCAGTATGTCCCCATTTTTGAGATCCTTGAAATCACCATGAAATCTGATACCAAACAGCAAGCAAACGCAAATTATATTTGTTGCGTTACTGTATGTTCTTCCTTCCACACAGCAGGTTCTGGTACAAGCCAACACCCAATGGTCTCAGCACCAAGGTTTGTGAGGGCTTCCAGGTTGGACATGTTGACGCTTGGCAGAGACCTCTTGAGTGGT